CTCCCCCTAACTCCCCTCCTCCCAGTTCCCACCCCACCCTCCGCCCTCACTCCCCACCCACTGTCCTCATCCATAGGTGCACGATTTTTGTCCAGTCTCTTCCCACATCTCCCACTCCCCTTTCCCCCCCAAGAATAGTCAGTCCATTCCCTTTATATGTCCCTGATTCTATTATAATCACCAGTTCATTCTGTACATCAATTATTTATTCACTTGATTCTTAGATTCACTTGTTGATAGATGCATGTTTGTTGTTCATAATTTGTATCTTTACCTTTTTCTTCTTCTTCCTCTTCTTAAAGGATACCGTTCAGCATTTCGTATAATACTGGTTTAGTGGTGATGAACTCCTTTAGCTTTTCCTTATCTGTGAAGCTCTTTATCTGACCTTCAATTCTGAATGATAGCTTTGCTGGATAAAGTACTCTTGGTTGTAGGTTCTTGGTATTCATCACTTTGAATATTTCTTGCCATTCCCTTCTGGCCTGCAAAGTTTCTGTTGAGAAATCAGCTGACAGTCATATGGGTATTCCCTTGTAGGTAATTGAGTTTCTTTCTTTTGCTGCTTTTAAGATTCTCTCTTTGTCTTTTGCTCTTGGCATTTTAATTATGATGTGTCTTGGTGTGGTCCTCTTTGGATTCCTTTTGTTTGGGGTTCTCTGCGCTTCTTGGACCTGTAAGTCCATTTCTTTCACCAGGTGGGGGAAATTTTCTGTCATTATTTCTTCAAATAGGTTTTCAATATCTTGCTGTGTCTCATCTTCTGGTACCCCTATAATTCTGATGTTGGTGCGTTTGAAACTGTCCCAGAGGCTCCTTACACTATCTTCGTATTTTTGGATTCTTTTTTCATTTTGCTTTTCCGGTTGGGTGTTTTTTGCTTCTTCACATTTCAAATCTTTGACTTGATTCTTGTGCTCCTCTGGTCTGCTGTTGGGTGTCTGTATAATATTCTTTATTTCAGTCAGTGAATGCTTAATTTCTAGTTGGTTCTTTATCACAACATCGAGGGTCTCATTAGATGTCTTGAGGCTCTCATCAAGTTTATCGGCAGTTTCTAGCAAATTATTGAAAGCCCTCAAAAGTGCGTTTTTTAGCTCTATATCCTCCATTTCTGTCATGTTTTTTTGTCTCCACATTTTTTTATGCTTTCTTGGTGCACCCCCTTGTGGTCTTTGTGCGCAGTATTGTTGTAGTTAAGCCTTAATTGTTGTCGGCAATACTAGGGGTGAATTGACTTCCAGGCTAACTGGCTATGAGAGTCAGCTGTGTCTGCAGTGGGAGAACTTCTGTGCTGAATCTCTAGGGCGGTGCTAATCTAGCCTTTTCCTGAGGCTATTCGGCAAATGGCTCTGCGCAGGGCTTGGGTGGGGCGGGTCGCACGGGATCAACAGGGTGGGCGGAGCGAGCAGTTATGGCTGCTCTCAGTTCCATCCCCAGCGGCTCTGCAACCGCTGCAAACCTTGGAGAGAAAGCTGCCTTCCCGCTTCTCCCGTTTGAGTCTGGGTCCCTAGAGACTCGCACTGATCTGGAGCTCAGAGTCTGAAACTCCCTCCTGATTGAAACCAACAACCGCGCCCTCCGCTGCCGGCCCGCTCCACGCGCACCTCCGCACCTTAGTATTTCACCTCCACACTGTGCCTCCTCTGAGTCTCGGTATGGATTTCTCTTTACTTCTAGTTGTAGAATCTCTCCTCAGCCAGCATTCCTGTGGTTCTGGGTGATGTCCGTTCCATCTTTTAGTTGTATTTTTGAATTGGTTGTTCGAGGCGGCAAACTCCGGCGTTAACCTATGCCGCCATCTTGGTTCCTCTCCAACACTCTCTCATCAATGTTTCTAACTCTCTATCCCTCTCCCTTCCACTCTGTAAAAAATAAATAAAATATATATTTTAAAAAAAGAAACAATTGTTTGGTAGGCAACTGAAGGGAGCTGGCTGTTTATGCAGAGACACTAGGAACTCCCCACTCCCACCCCAAACCCACCAACACCTATCCTCTAAGGCATATCCTCCAAGAATATACTGACTTTGTGAATGAATGCTTTGTAATCCTGTTTAGAGGCACAAAGACCATGGACTGAGCCTGAACCTAGACCCAGGGGCTCCATTAAGGATACAGTCCTTAGGCTGAGGGGCACCTTGAGGGATTCTTTTCCCAAATGCCTTTGCACTCCACTTTTAGAAACAAAGGATTGACCCTCAGAGACCACAAATTACACCACTTAGTGCAAGACATGGGACAAGGACTCATGGGACAAGGACGCAGTCTCACTACCAAGGAAAATTACAACTTGTTTAGGTAGCCGTGACTGAAGGAAGCAGATATGAAAATAATCATAACTATGTCCTTGAACATAGATGAGAGCCTGGGTGTGGGATGGGACAAAAGTCAAATTCAAGTCATCTTCATTAAAGAGGAGAGGATACTATAGTGGTTTTTGTGATCCATGTTCTCTAGCTGTTGTGGATAATTTTGGTCTTAATACTCTGAAAAGGGAGATAGAATGGGTACCATGGGAAGGTACCACTGCTTGTGCTGCCACCTATGCAGGAATATAACTCTACTCTAGAGACAACTTGACCCAGGGGTAATAAAACAGGACTCTTAGTTTGGGCATATCTGAGCAGGACCCACCAACCAGCAAGAGCAGCTGTAAGAGACCAAAGCAGCATGCTTGTGGAGGGTACATTGGACAGGGGGGCTATCTGCTGAGATGGGGCCAAACACCATTTTCTGGGAGGTACAGTCCCCCAGGGGCCCATCTGACCCAGGCATTCTTGGTGGTAGCCAAGCTAGGACTAACCAGGGCCTTGATCTTGAGCTATCAAAGAGGCCATCAACAATCCTTCTCCTCTCTAGGGATGAAAGTAGAGATAGGATCATGACCTCTCAACACATCTAGTGAACTATCAAAAAGAAACAGTCTTCCTGGCAGCAGATGAGAGTTCTTTCTGGTAACCTGAACCCAATTTTTGTGTGCTTTTTGGAAAGAGAGAACCTGGGGGTGTTACGCACGTCCACTCCCCCACACTTGTCCGGGGCCCACACTCCAGAGCAGCTGTGAGCCACTTTTGTGAAATCACATGACTTGAGCAGCTGGCTGTCCCATGGCTGAGACTCTAGAATTTTAAGGGAAGTATATATTGGGCATCCCTGCTTTAACCCCCTGTTCAGTGATAGGATTAGATTAGACAATGCTTTTTAATGTAGAGCATCTCCATGCCGAGTCTGTGTACCCATGAGATGCACGGAGCCCATTGATGGTCATGATTCATCTGGATACTCAGTAACCTTCCTGTGGAGTCCTCCTGCCCCTAGGGCTGTGGTTAGCAAACTGCGGCTCGCGAGTCACATGCGGCTCTTTGGCCCCTTGAGTGTGGCTCTTCCTAAGCCTTAGGAGTACCCTAATTAAGTTAATAACAATGTACCTACCTATATAGTTTAAGTTTAAAAAATTTGGCGCTCAAAAGAAATTTCAATCGTTGTACTGTTGATATTTGGCTCTGTTGACTAATGAGTTTGCTGACCACTGCCCTAGGGGATCAGGTGCTGTGGGATGCCTACCTGGAAGATATCCTTTCCCCCTCTCCTGGGTTCCAGTAACCACCTGGGGTTTGAAAGCGCAGTCGGGTACTTCTGCTTCAGGTTAGTCAGTACAGCCTGCTTTTCCAGTTCCACAACCTCCTCAGGAGCCAGATTGCTGTGCCCAGATGTATGGGATTGTCCTCGTGAGATGCCTCTCTGGACTCATTGACAGTCTCAAGGACTCTGACCTTTAGGAAAAGGGAAAGTTGCCAGGAAATATCTTGGTGCTATCACTCTTTTTGCTTCTGCTCATTCCTGGGTTGTACAAAGAGAAATGTTTTAGGATAAGTGGTTAGTGTTCAGGACTCCTTTACACGTTTTCCCTCTCTTGGTCTGGTCAAACTCAGAGAACACTTCAGCAGCATCCAAGGGACCTTGTGGGAGGTTTAGAAGTGGGCACTGAACTATTGCTAGAATATGACCAACCAGGTATGGCCTCATGCCCCTTGAAGGAGACACTAGAATTTTCAAGAAAGCACTGGTCTGTCCTGGCAAGTGACTGGTCTGCTGTAAAAGTGTCCCTGGGCTCAGGAGGGCTTGTGTTACACATGTCACATCACTACCTTGTGACCCAAAAACGGATCTGAAATACAGCTCTGATAGAACAGTGATGATAGAGATTTTTGTTTTTCTGTGTGGGCAATCTTTAATTTATTTGGGTACCTTCTAGCAGAGTTAATAATTGTTGTTAGTGGTGAGGATGATGGGCTTTCTCCCAGGCTTTGACTGGAATGGCCCATCTTCTGAGCCAGACTGGCTCTGTCGTATACCACTTAGTAGATGGGGTGGCTTGAATTCTAGGTGGGCCTCTCTGCAAGACCCCTGGAACTTAGGCTAGAGACACTCATATGCTGATCAGAAACTTCTTGGCATCATAGGGAGACCTGCAAGTAAAGACCCTCCTATTTCAAGTTGCATGACTAATATAAGGTGATTTCCCCAAGGTCAGGAGCCAGGCAGTTCTGTCTCCTGACCTGTAGGCAAGGATCAGGGGACCAGATATTCCTGGGCTTGCCTCAGGGCCCCTTAGCCAGTTCCTTGCCGAAGGTGTGAAAATGAACGAGGACAACTGGGACAAAAGCCTGTCTGGGGCCAGGACTTCTAGCCTCCTCTGGCTCACCTGGCAAGGTGTGTGGCATGGAAACAGAAGAATACGGACTCACAATTCTCATTGGATTGTTTATTTTGTACCATGTAGTTTTTGCCTTTCTTTATTAAAGTGGAAATGGATTCATGGTTTAAAAGCCTGTGATATTATGGGCCTGCATTGTCCTTGAACTGCTCACAGAGTGAACACTTGTTATCTGAGGAGCCCTCATGCTCCTCCTCCTCAGCCTGGTCAAGGTCCTCAGATGGAGCCATGACTGAAAGGCCAGCTATCAGAGTGGAATAACAGATGTTGTGCAAAGACATCACAGAACCTTGGGGGGGGGCAGATCCCCTTTGCCGTCAGTTCCAGCAGTAGCCGCGGGCACAAACATGACACTACCAGAAGTGCCCTCCCCACTTGAACCACTTACTGCACTTGGGCACTGGACCTCCCTGGCACTGCCCATGAGCTGAGGAACCGAGAACTCAAATGCCTGGGTGGCATTGGGTCCCCACTCATTCTTGCCTGTCTCCTGAGCCTTTTCTTCAGCTTCTTTGTTGCTGACCTTCTGGTGTATTCTTGGGGAATGTCTTGTGGGGGCCATGTTCTTTCTCTTTTGGAGGGTGATACTGGTCCCTGGACAAACGTGCGTCACCTGGTTGCCTTGTGTTGTAATATTCTTGAGGAGCCAAGGCTTGCCTCTCTGGAAATTGCAATTTCTGTAGATCTGAAACAAAATTAATTAATTTAGTCACCTGTGGAGAAAATATATCTATTTGTCATTAACTGGCCTCTCAGAGTCTTTACTCATCCCTGCAGGTTATCTCTAAGGGGACTATAGTTTCAAGAGAAAATCTATACTTTCTAATCTTTTGATAAATACTGTATTATGTGATAAAGGGTTAGACCCTGAAATGAATCCCTTTCAGTATATCATTCTTCTGGGTCCACTGAGAAGATGTTTGAGAAACAGGGAACATGGGAAATGGGAGGACTTCCTACTTTACCATTATCCTGTTCCCTGGAGAGCAAACTGAAGAGTTTGCCTGTGCATATTTTGCTAAAGCCATGGCGGTTCAGCAAGCAGATGAAACTCTTTAGGCTGTTCCATTCAAAGATTTGCTCCTTGCCCCTTAGGCAAAGAATCTCCTTCTGGAAAAGATTTTCCTCAATGATCACGGTGTCTCCGTCGTCATTCCAGTGCACAGACATGAAGGAGTTATCCTCCACTATCCTCCAAAGCTTTCTTGGGAAGGACAGCCCAAGAAGAATTTGTTTCCTTCCACATTTGGCGCCTTGGTTTGGGTCCTGTGGTTGAGGGTTGTCTTGCAGGCTTGGATCTTGGCTATCTTCTTGGTTTCCATGTCTCTCCAAAGCCTCCCTTGGACCCACATGTGGATCTGGGGATGTATCATGTTGGACCATTATTGGTGGTTGTCCATCCTCTGATGGGGCCAGCTTGGCTTCGCGCATCTCATGGGTACTCTAACTAGCCATGTTGATGCTCTACATCAAAAATCACTTGGTACCCAGGATCTTATCACTTCAAAAGTGGGGTCAGAAATGCCTTTGGTCACAGCAGCGATGCCCTATATATACTTTCCTCAAAAGTCTAGAGTCTTGGTGGTGGGGCAACTAGCTGCTTAATTCATGTGATGTCACAAAGGTGACTTATGGCTGCTCAGGAGTGTGGACCCTGGCCAAGTGTGGGGGCGTGAACATCTTTAGAGCCCCCCATCTTCTCTCTTTTCAAATAGTACAGAAAAACAGGGGTCAGGTTAATAGAAAAGGTGCTCATCTGCTTCCAGCCACATTGTTTCTTGTTTCTAGGCCCTGGATGTGTTGAGAGGTTATGATCCTATTTCTACTCCCACCCCTACAGATGGGGGAAGCCTGTTGATGGCCTCTTCTTTGCTGAAGGGCAAGGCCCTGATTAGTCCTAGCCTGGGCAACCACCAAAACTTCCTGGGTCAGATGGGCCCCTGGGGGACTGTACCTCCCTGAAATTGGTGGTTGGTCCAGTCTCAGTAGGTAGCCCCATGCTTCAATGCACCCCTCACAAGCTTCCTGCTTTGGTCTCTTCCAGCTGTTTTGTGGGTTCTGCTCAGATGAGCCCAAAAGAGAGTCCTATTTTCTTACCCCTGGGTCAAGTTGTCCCTAGAGTATGGCTGTGCTCTGGCACATGTGGGAACATTCCTCTCATTCCTCAACCTCAGTTCTACCCAAAGCACCTCAGAGACAATGTTACCCATGGGTTTGCTCTGGGAATGGAAAGCCACACCCTCTGATGTCCTAGGGGACAGAGGGGGTCGCCTTGAGCTCTGTTGCCCACAAATATCACCTCTATTAGGTCACAAGAGCATTGTCTTTAGTTTCCATTTCTTCCCCACAGGAACTCTTCTCACTACCCAAGATGGGCTCACATTGGGACAGTTGCATTTGTCTTCCCAAATCACCTTCCCCAGACCCTCGGATTCAGACACCTTTAAGACTTTTGTTTTCCCAGATTTCTGATCTCCTATTTCCAAGTTGGATCTCCTTTGGTACTTTCCATTTTCATTACTGATTTGGAGGTTAGGTACATATTCAGCTCTGTGGAAATAAAGCATTGCACTGACTCACTCTCATGCCAGCCCTATTCTTCTTATCAGAAGACCCCTCCCCCACCTGTGAGTTCCTCTCCTGCCATTACTTGAAGGTAACTACATTGAATCATTTTGTTTACTCTTGCCTTAGATACTTTTCAAAGAACCTATTTTACATAGACTCACTACCAAGGAGAATGACAATTTCTTTAGGTAGTCATGACTGAAGGAAGCCCATACAAAGATAATCATAAATATGTACTTGAACATAGAGGAGAACCTGGGTGAGGAAAGAGAGAAAAGCCAAATTCAAGTAATCTTCACCATGGAGGAGAGGATATTACAGTGGTTTCTTTGTGTTCCATGTTCTCTAGCTGTTGTGGACAACTTTGTTCTAATACTCACTCTGAATAGGGAGATTGAAGGGTACGGTGGGAAGGCACCACTGCGCTGCTTCTAGGTCCTTCTCCCATCTCTTCCACTAAGTGGTGTCATTTGTCCTCTTTGAGTGTCAATCCTTTGTTTCTGAAAGGGAAGCTAAAGGCATTAGGGTAGAGAATTCCCCAAGGGCCAGAGCATTTTCTGTGTATATGTATGTGTGTTGTTTTTCTTCATTTTGTTTTGACTCCAGCTATTTAAGGAAATCTCCCTCATATCAGTAGCTGACCACTAAGCTATAATAACAAAGAATTCCATGGTAAAACATGACAAGAATACATTCTTTCCAAAAATAGTTTAGAAAAATCATGGAACAAACAAATTATAGCACAATGAGCAACAACAAATCTTGGGGGGGGTGGAAATATGATCTCCTGAATTATGATACTCAAAATGGTCAGATTTCAGAAAAAAAAAGTATATAGAGGCATTCAAAGAAAGACAATATGGCTCATGCTTAGGAAAAAATGAAATTAGTAGAAACTGCCCCTGAGGAAGCACAGATATTGGTCTCAGTAGCCAAACTAGGAAATGTAAAGTAGGATATGGCAGGGATGAGATGCCAGTGTTGGTAGTCTGCATGCAGAGCCCTGGTTCTCTTCCATAGGCCATAATGCCTTGGTCCTGGGCTGGTAATGCCTCAAGTTTGGGGGTGCTTCTGCTTCATGGAAATCCTGGAAAATCATTGAGTTTTGTTCCCAGATCAAGCAGGGGCCAGACTGAGGAAATGTGGACTTGCATGTGGGGGAGGATGTGCAAGAAAGGATGCTCTGCATATTCACCTCTTATTTGATCACAGGCACCACACTTAATAAAATGATTGTGCAGCTCACACGTTGGGCACAAATCAGGATGTGTATCCCTGCTGACATCAGTCAAGGAATATAAGCCATGTGTCCAAGACAATGGCCTTGTGTCCTCTTGGGCCAGGACAGAGGGCAGCATGCTAAGCGCACCCAAGAGTAATCTGAGCATGAGGCATTTCACGTGCTGGGCCATGACAGCCAAAACGTCTTAAAAACAAATCGTGCTCAGGGGACCAGAGGAGGCACATGGCTGGTCCAGAGCACTTGATTTTACTTTTGTTCCCCGGAGGGCATAGGTGACAGGGTCTAGGAAAACAAAATGAAAGTCAACCAAAAATGGTTGCATAGAGAGGAATGTATTCTAAGGCATCCCAAGTATGTAAAATGTGACAGTTGATGCCTAAATTAGTAGAGTCAGGTGATTTGGCCATTTGGACTCATTCCCCAAACCTCCTTTAGCCAAGGACTCAGCTCTAGTCTTTAGTGGACCCCTCCCATATCCTTTTCCCCTTTCTCTCTGTCCCTTCACAAGTGAAGGTGTCTAAGGCCAGTCACTAGCAGTGGGTGGAAGAGTTAGACCCACTGAGTGGTCCACCCCAAGAGAAAGAAGTTCTGTCATTCTCTGTGGCATTGGGCCAGTATATGGAAACATGCAGGCCCCTTTCTACCTGTGCACCTATTAGGGCTTGGGGATAATTGTGTTTATAGTTACTATGATAGTGGCCACATGAAACAGGGGCCCACCAATGCCACAGCTACTAACCAGATGCTCTGGGCCAGGGCAGAGGGCACCAAAAGTGGATATTCGTGGTCACGTGGCTATATAACTGGACAAAGCAGTGACTCCTGAGAGAGCTTTCTGAGAGAAGCATAAATTTGAACACTTGTTCCCCAAGAAAGCCTTACAAATCCCCAAAGAACTCCCCAGGAGTGGGATCCCCCTCCTGTAAACATATGAGAATGTCTGGGAGATAATTTCATTTTCCCAACTAGGGAAGAAGCAGGGGATGCTGCTGACATCTGGTGGGCAGAAACCAAGGATGCTACTAAACAGCCTACAGTGCCCAGGACAGCTCCCCACACAGAGAATGACCCAACCCACAATGTGCCAGGTACCACTGGGCAGACCTAGAATGTAATTTGCATGCCCTTATCTCTCACATCCTTTCAAGATATACTGACCCAAGGCCCTAATCTTCAAAGCAGGACTGAGAGAAATGAATTCATCCTCCCCAAGTATAAAAACCATTTGAAATGTGTGGGTAAGCATGAACATTCAGGTCAAAACGGGATAAATTTAGGTAACCAAGGTGATGGAATCAACATCACTCATAGGAACTTTATTTCTGACAGGGAGGTGCTTGGGCTTGGTAAAATACAGGATGACAGGCTTTGAACGTTTGGAAGACCCACCTGCTCTTATTAAACAGTTAAATCGCAGGTGGCAAGGAAACATTTGTTTCTTTGTGCATAGGTGTCTATATAACAGTGAACACACAGAAGTCTCAAAATCCCAAATTCTGTGTTCTTCAGCTATATTTCAGACCCAAGTTGGCAGTAAAACAGCATCAAGCATTGTGGACCAAAGGCTTAGTTGTGGTGATGGGCTTTGGTGAGTGAACTGTCTGTGGAAGAAAACCATTATGGGGTTGGTGTGTACTTTCATGAGGAAAGGCCCCAAAATGAGTCAAGCTCTTCAAACTGGCAGTTAAGGCTGATTATAGGCCAAGCTTGGCTCTTGTGCACATTCCCATCAGAAGCAGGGTCTTTGGCCTGGTGTCAGGGTGCAGAGACAGTCCCATGATGCAGTTTTAGATTATGGGAGAACCCAAGAAAGCGGCAGCTGGAGGGGCCCCACATTGTCAGTGACAGATTTCCCAGACGGGGCCAGAGGCAGGCTAGTGTATCCACCAGGGCTCTGGGAAAACCCCCAGCAGATAAGCCTGTTCCCCTCAGAGAAGACCTGGTGAAATTCAAGTGGCTCCCAGGGAGCACCCCAACCTCTAGAGCACCTCTTACATCTGAGAGGGCACTTGGATCCAGCAAGCAGAGCTGGAGACAAGGCCATTGCAGGGACAATTCTGTGGAGATTGGGTGGGGATCCAGTGAGGATAAGCCCTACCTACCAGGAACCCCTGTGGAGGGACACAAGAGAGACATATCTACTTCCTAGGCCTCTGACCTTCTGGACTCGAGAGTTAGACCAACAGGGACCAGGAACTGGGCCATTCAAGAGTCCTTGCATTGTGAGACCATCTCTTGTCATTAAGTTCAAAAAGAGTCAGGCAAATAGTCTCTACACACCATTAGGGAAAGTCCATGGGGCCCACACTTTGGTCTTTCCAGGTGCAGTGACAGAGATCGCTCAGAGCCCTCAAGTTCCTGGGCACAGGGTGTTTCCTCAGATTGAGGCTTAGGCGAGTATAGACTCCCTACCTTCTCATCATTCCTACTGACCACCTTGTCACATATCAGGGACCATAGCATACCCCCATATTGAGTGTGAGGAGCACAAGTTAGACTAATAAATACCTCAGGGTCACACCAACATGAAGCAACTTGCGAAGCCATAGAATTGGAAGCCTGGCCTGAAGCTGTGCTGGGCCCTGAGCCAATGAAGTACTTGGTTTTGACACCTTTAATT